ATTTGGTACAAGATGGTCCGTTGATGGCTGATGCACTTATGGTTACGGATGATGTAACAGAAAAGTTGGAAGTGGTTGGTTCTGATAATGATTTATTTTGTGAAGGTAGACAGGAGGAATTGAAGGAGGATGGGGTTTCTTTGTACCATCAGGAGGAGTCACCAACCGTTGTGGTGGGTCTTCTCTCGTCATCTTCTAATGAAGGAGAAATGGGTGATGGCAGTAAGGTGGAACAAAATTCTAAACATATGCAAAAATTTACAGTTGGAGATGGGGTGAGCAAAGTCAAGGTGCTGGATAGTTCTTGTCATATGAAAGTACACGCTACTGGTTATGAAAAGTATAAAGCAAAGGTACGTTCTAATACGACAACACCTTCAGTACTTCTTAGAGAATGAAAAGTGGTCCCATGCAAGGCACAATGTGCTTCTCAGGGTACTCCGTCGTTTAGCAAAGGTAAGCCTTTTTTTGGCAAGTCCTCCAATTCTTAGTTTATGCATGTTAATAATAGCATGGAATGTACGTGGCCTCCAAGTTCATGGCAAAGTATCTGATAATGGAGTTCATAAAAATTATAATAATGTAAGGTTATTATTTCTTCTAGAGACTAAATTTCCAGTGGATAAGATTAATATGTGGTCGAAAAAGTTGGGTTTCTATAATAATGTGGTTTCTAACAATGTTGACGATAGATCGAGAATTATGGTTCTGTGGAACCTGTCCATATGTTCAATCAATGTTCTCAATGTTAATGATCAGATTATCACTATTGAGGCCACTCGTTTTTGTAATGGTTCACTTTTCATTATTACTGAGGTATATGCCTTTGATTTTGTATCTCACAAGGCATTACTTTGGGATCATATGAGAAGTATTGGGGCTGCTACTACACTACCTTGGTTGGTATTAGGCGACTTTAACACTTTATTGGATAGCTCAGAGTGGATGGGAAGTAGTGGCAATTTACCTTCGGATTCAAGGAATTTTGCTCAGGTTATGTCAAACTATGGATTAACTGACCTTGGTGCTGCAAGGGGTTGGTTTTCTTTGTCTAACAGTTAGCTTAACAAGAGATGTGTCAAAAGGAGATTAGATCGTGCTATGGCAACCACTGATTGAGTGCTGGCATATTCAAAGTCCAATGTAGAGTTTCTTCTAAAGGGGAATTCATCCACTGTCCTTTGCTAGTATCCTTATCAAATTTGGATCCGGTTGGGCCAAAACCCTTTTAATACTTCTCAACTTGGGAGAAAACTCCAAACTTTATTGATATAATTTAAGTTTCTTAGTAAGGCAGAGTGGGGGGCATGCCTATGTTTCATTTTGTTACAAAGCGAAAAAGACTGGTGCGTTTGCGTGCTTGGAACAAGGAAGTGTTTGGTCATGTGAGTGACTCTATCTTAGTAGTTTGGCAGAAGTTATCCTTTATACATGATGATTTGTGTAGTAATCTTTCCTATGACAATTTTATGATAGAGGAGAAGAAACATACTATAAAATCACAGCAATTATTAGGCCATGAAAAGAGTATTTGGAGGCAAAAGTCGAGGCAAAATTGGCTAAAGGTTGAGGATTCTAATACAAGGTTTTTCCATCTATCTACTGTAATCAGGAGAGGAAGTGATCGCATTATTTCTCTCAATGATTAGAATGGGGTTTATTTGGTTTCTGAAGCAGATATTGATAACCACATAATAGGGTTCTTTGAAGATCTTCTTGCCTAGGAATGTGATGGTGATACTCATATGGATGAACATGTTTTTTCACCTTCTCTGATAAGCACTCCTCAACAGCAGAACTTGGTTAAGGATGTTAATATGGAGGAGATAAAGGATTGTATTTTAGGGTTGAAATGTGAGAGTGCTTAAAGGCCAGATGTCTTCCGGTGGAATTCGATAAATTTAGGTGGGAGGTGCCTAAGAAGGATTTTTTTCTGGCTCAATGTCTTCTTTAAGAAATGTAAATTTCTTAAGCAAATCAATTCTACCATTATCTGTCTCATTCCTAAAGTAGCCAACCCTACTATTATGAAGGATTTTTGCCCAATTCATTTCTGCAATGTATTGTATAAAATTATTTGCAAAATCATTTCTAATTGCTTACGGGAAATTCTTAGTGATTTGATTGATCATAGACAAGATGCTTTCTTGAAAGGTAGATTGATTACATATAACATTCTTATGACAAATGAACTCATATCTATATGCAACAAAAATTCCAAGAGGCCCAAAATGTGTTTGCAGCTAGATTTGAGTAGTGCTTATGATAGAGTATCCCGGTCCGTTGTTATTGCACGTATGAATGCTTTGGGATTTCCAGATATTTTTATACCTTGGGTTTGTCTATCATATCTTCTCCTTCTTTCTCTGTGTTGCGCAATGGATCCCCTAAGGGTTCTTTTAAGGGAAAAAGAGGCCTTAGACAAGGAGACCCCTTATCTTCATATATTTTCTTATTGGTAATGGATTTTTTGAGTAGGCAGTTCATCTATGCTACTGAGCAAGGTATGATTCCTTGGGCTTTTCCTTCGAGCTGGATTATGGAATGTCACATTTATTTTATGCGGACGATGTTCTTATTTTCCGTGAGGCTTCAATTAGTATTGTTGTTGCTCTTAAGTTGGTTCTCTCCATTTTTGAGGTAATTACAGATCAGAAACTTAATATTGCAAAAAACAAGCCTTTTTTTTTTGGGTTTCACAGGATAATAAATTACTGATTCTAAGGAAATTTGGCTTTCGTGAAGGATCTCTCCCAATGCACTATCTTGGGTTTCCTTTACTTCATGGCCATTTGAAATATAGTCAATGTCATTGCTTGGTTGGCAAAATTATTGGAAGGATAGGCTCTTGGCAGGCTTTAACTTTATCATATGCAGGGCGTCTATAGTTGTTGAAATCAGATCTTTGTGTCTCATCTATTTTTTGGATTCTTTCATTTATCCTGCCAAAACGAACATGTCGTATGATTCAACGGCTGTAGAGAAATTTTCTATAGGCCGGCGTGGTGGAGAAAAAGGGAGTGCATTTTGTTAAATAGAGAACAATATGTTTATCTTAGGTTGAAGGGGAACTAGGAGTTAGTGACAATGGATTTCAATATTGCAGGGATGATAAAATTGGGATGGAGAATTTTGGCGGATACTTCATCTCTATTTCCTCTGTTCTTTAAGCATCGTTATTTCGGGAATTCTTCCATATGGGAAACCAAATATAAAAGTTATTCATCTTATGCTTGGAAGGGTATTTGGCTTGGATTATCTCATTTTAAATATAATGTTCGATGGGTTATTGGAGATGGTCGGCTTGTGGATTTCTTAGAAGATCCATGGTTATCAGAAAGGTCAATATGAGACTCTTATCGTATGACTGTTCATCAGGACCTTGAGAATGGTATGTCAAAGGTCTTGGATTATACTGGAAGCCATCTTTAGTCTTGGGTCTTACCCACCCCTACATCTGTTTTTTTTACTCAAATATGGCAGGAAGTTGAGAGATTTACTATCCCATTACAGTGGTACAGGGATTTTCTAGTATGGATTCATTATGTGAGTGGATTATTTTGAACTAAAGAATCTCGAGAATTTATTGGAAACAAGGGCACCTCTCAGCCTATTTTTTGAACCTTGTGGTCATCAAAATGTCATCTCCGAGCGAAATGGTTCTCTTAGATGGCACTTCACGATCGGTTACCCACTATCTCTCTCCCACGGCAATGAGGGATAGCCATGGCTCCTCCTATATGTTCGTTTTGTAAAAACGATGATGATAGTCCTTATCATCTATTGTTCCTTTGTGATTTCTCACAGACTGTACGGAGATCTCTTGCATGGCGTTGTGGTAAACGTTTTATTTTTTGCTCTTTTATTACTAATATGTTGAGAAGTTGGTTAACGTTTAGATTTTAAATACAATGGTTTTTTCAATATTTGGACTTCTTTATTCTTCACAACTATTTAGTTTTTATGGGCAGAGAGTAATCGAAGAGTTTTCCAATCAAGATTAATCAAGAGGGAGCAATTGCTTCAACAAATTATTTCTCATGTTCGGGAGTTAGCAAATGCTAAAGCATAGGCATTTCATGTCTCAGAAAAAATAATCACCGATAATATGTAGTTCAATTGGCAGCAACAAATGGATCAGTTGGTTGTACAGGTGGTGTGGCCATTTCTTAGCCCTAACTATTTCATGTTAAACATTGATGGGGCCTCCTTGCGTAACCCAGGTCGAGTAGGTGGGGGTGATGTAATTAGAGATTTGTGATGGTGCTGTTATTGCAGCATTCTCAAAACTTTTTGGAATCGCTTTCAACAATTATGCAAAATTCTCTGCTCTAGAAGAAGGTTTGGTGCTAGCCCTCCAGCTAAAATGTTTTCCTTTCCAGAATGAAAGTGACTCGGCTTTACTCGTTAATGTTATTCATGAACACTGTCGATCTCTTTGGAAGCTATATAAGATTGCTGCAAATTGTAGACATCTTTCTAATCGTGGGTCGTCCATCTTGCCCATTTTTTGTGAAGCCAACATGGTGGCTGACATTTTAGCAAAGAGGGCCACATCTTGTGAACTGGCGTTCGTGTCTGCCGGACTTCATTTCCTTTGCTTTACTTCATGACCTGCGATCACTAGTAGCAATGTCCTTGGGCTCTTGCCAACAATTTTAACAAGAATCTTGTATCCCAGTCTAACATGTCTCGTTATAATCATTTTTTAAACATTGATGATTATGTTAACTTTGTGAGATGGTTAGCCTCATTGATTACCAGCCCAACCTTAGTTTCAAGTCCATATTAAGCATTAAGAGAAGCTTAGCTTGTTGCTAAGTAGAGGAAACATCCTTCATCAAATTATGAGCAAATCAGACATAGAAATATGATAATACAACATCCCATGCATGACGACAATCGTGCGCTCACATTATTACTTTATTCATAGATATATAGGTCACAGGGGCCACTTAGTGTGTTTGTGGACTCTCAAGTAAAGGTGGAAGAAGAGATGATCAAAACAAAGTCTCATCAATGACGGGGGCAAGAATCGGCGGCAAATCCAAAGGAGGAACAGTCACAGGCGGTATATCAATAATGAAAGAGAACGCAGGGGGAAGTTCAACAGAGGGAGCAACAACTAGCGGCACGTCCACTGGAGGCACGTCTACCGGTGGAACATCCACGATTCCCGGAGGTGGGGCAGTGTCCGGATTTTGAGAGACACCACCTCCACCGCCAGCACCAGCGCCGGCGCTAGCTCCAAAGCCACCCCCACCATTCGAGCCACCACCGGCACCGTTGCCTGAGCCGCCGCCACCACCACCACCACCAACAGTTCCGGCAGCACCAGAGGCACTACCTTGGCCTCCTTCATTGCCCGTGCCCGAGCCGCTACTGAAACCGGTGCCACCGGGCACACTGGTGCCAGTGCCCACTGCAGCACCTCGCCACCTCCAGCACCACCTGCGGAGTACGTGCTCTCTGGGAAGAGGGCCGAATTAGTTCCTACATTCTCCAATGCCGAGGAGGAAGCCAAGATTGTGATTACGGGGTTGGGGTTCTTCATGGGGAGAGAGAGAGAGGATGTGATAGAGGGGGAGAGCGGTTGTTGTGTCGTGGAGGAGATGGGGGCCCTATATAGCGTAGTGAGGTCAAGTGGTGATTTTGGTTGAATTAATGTGGGCCATTATGGACAATAGAAGTTAGGGTCATCAATTTTTTAAGCAGTGGGTACGGTCGGAAGTAAATGTACACTTTTGAAGCTTTTAGGTGAGACAGAGCACTCAACGAATCATTAATTATGGCTGATTAAATCTCTTCATCTTCTTAAATATTTTCCAGTATCATTAATTTTTGCTGCATATCTTTAGTTTTGTCCAGGACAATGCATGTACCATTTAAAGAGCTTCGATAGGGGAACGAAATATGGAGTTCGTCATAAGAGAGCTCAAGGAAGAAAGTGAAGGATGCTTGTGAGAAAAAGAAAAGTATATATATATATATATATATTTAGAGAGAGACAGAGAGATTTTCGGTGGCTGTAAATGCTTTATTTATTTTCTTATTGAAAAGGGATAGAGAAAGCGTCAGGAGACCTATTTCCGTGGCTCTAAATCCATACGGTTTGGATATTTGGAAGTACATTTTCAGAATTGTATTTAAGTGGAAATGAAACATTTATGATGTATTTTGGGACTAAAATGTATTTCCACCAATAATTGTTTCTTCATTCTAAAAGAAATTTTTATCATTGTGTTTACCCTCTAAAATTGATTTCCACTTAGATTTCCATGTTATAGAGACATCAAGTTTATAACATATAATTAATTTTAAAAAAATACCCCCATGAGTTAGAGAGAGATACTATCTTGAATTTTACGTTTTAGAGAGAAAAAGTATCTTAAAATTTTAGAGAGAGAAACTATTTCTGATTTTAGAAAAGAAGGAAACTATCAAAAATTTTTAAAGAGAGAAATTATCTGAAATTTTTTATAGAAAGGAACTGTTGGGTGAGTGTGGCCATTAAATGCCTTATGAGTGCTTGTGATAAAACATTTTGATATAATGGAGCATGAACTCAGTGGGAGTGTGGTCCCTCGCAGACTACACTAAACATATATTTTTGCTGATATCGGACTGAGTTTGACGAGCTAGGTAAGATGGTTGGGAAAAACCTATGTTACCTAGGCATGAAAAAACAATCCGATATGGGTTCTAATAGGTTATCCCTAGGTTATCCCTTGATGAGGTTGGAGTACACTCGGATGAGTGAGCCAAGGGACTCTGTGACCCTTGTGTGTGATGGTAGTCTTAAGAGACGGGGGCCAAAGCCTCAACCATGTACCATCCCATGGCATATATAATGATAGCCGTTTTGAGAAAACGAACCATCTTTCAAGGTGAAGCTTAGGCATGTGCGAGAGATACCACTATGCACCATAGGAGTTGTGGTCGCATCAAGTCTAGGTGACCTTGGAACATCTCTAGGGGAGAACCTGTAATCTACAGACTGGGTTTACAAGCCCTTGGCTCATCGGCCAGACTTTGGTGACCCACTAATGAGCTTCTATTGGACTGCGGGTCATGGGAAACACTGGGTCGGTTAGATACAGTAAGTATGGTCGGTAGTCCACGGTTGAAGGTGGAGTGCCCCAATGTTTATTGATTTAATTCCTAGACCATATGAATCATTTTCCCATCTAATGAATTTAATTACATTTATTTTGTAGCATATTATTTTAGAATTATTATTTGAATTTTTATAAATCTCTGGATATTTTATTTATCGAATTTGAAGTCCTAAAAACAGAGATATTGATTTTACAATGATTTAAATATTCAAATAATTTCTAATTTTTTTTTTATTGAATTTCAAATTAGTTAAAATTGCATAGGGGTCCATTGTGCACCTGGGCCCACCATGGCCCCATGATGGGCCCCGTGAGACCCTCTCATGGGTGGCACACCCCACCCATTTAGGAACCTTTTCTTTTTGTTAAATGGAGACTTTGACATATGGTCAAAGTGTTATGTGTTTGGAAGGGGAATTAGCTTGATGATGCTTTGAATAGATTGTTTGGAAAGCATGAGAAGTCATATACAATATTATGGTATGCACAATATTATGCTTAGAATTATTTTATTTAATTTGGGAAAATGGTTTAGGAAATGGGATAAGGGTTCTAGCACTATCCATAATGTTGACGACCCATCTATGGAATGGAGGGTACAAATCTCTCACCCCACAAGTCACCTAAGATCAATGGTCCATGTTCAATCTCACAAGAAGAGGCAAACTATGGAAAACCTTAAGAAACCCTAATTGTATTATTGCTCTATAAATAGAGGACCTCCCCCTATAAAAATCTCTACAAAAAAAATCTCTTCTCTCTCTGTCTTGTTTTGTGAGGGGCACACCCTACCTCTTAAGATCTCTCTCTCTCCTCAAATCTCTCCAAATCTCTCTTTCTCTCTCTAGAATGGTCTAAAGGGCACATACCACCTAAAAGGTTTTATCTATTTCTCTCTCATCTTGCTTTAAAGTTTAAGGCTTGGGTAGTATTAAGAAGATGACATCCTAGACAAGGTATTAGGGGTTTGAACCTAAAGTCCAAAGTCTTGTGACCAAGAATAGTTCATAGTTCCATTGGAGGGCTTGACCTAAATTATCTTTCTCGATTGAGATTGAAGGTTGATCGTTAATCCCGAGCCATTGGATACTGGTGACTCGGCATGTGGAATAATAAGCCCGGTAGAGGTAATCCCCGGCATATCTTTTGTTTCTTGCATATTTATTTATATTTTTTTTATATTTCCAAGCATATAAAGTAGTGGTTATTTTCTTTATTTAAAGAAAATTGGTTTAGTGGCATCAAGGTTTTCTTGGCTTTATTTTTCTTTGAAGCATGAGTTGTTGTAATAAGATTACTTGTAGGTGATCTTTGCCAAAATAAAAGGGGTGAAAGAATAAAATAAAAATATACATACCCTGGTAAGATTACATTGGTCTTTTTTTCATTGGTATCAGAGCATAGTTACTTGTTACCATTAGAAGTCTTTTCTCTTTATTGAGTCTAGATTTTTTCTAGGGAATAAAAAGCTATGGCTGTCGGTACCTTCATCTCAGAGATCCTAAACACTGAAAGCTTTGATGGGACCAACTATACCTCTTGGAAAAGAAAGATTGGATATGTCCTTTATGAGGAACACTTGCATGAGATGCTCTATGAGCATCGTCCTCATCGTCCAAGTGACAACTCATCTCAAGTAATCAAAGATGAGTATTCCACTTGAAAGAGAGGGAACTTGAGATATAAGCATATCCGTTTGTGCTCGATAACTGACTCGTATGCTTTTGAGTATGAGTTGATTTACACTGCAAGTGGAATCTATGAAAGGCTTGAGAGAGAGAGTATGCGGATCCCTCTCTCATGAAACAAGCCATGGCTATGAAAATATATAATGAGCTAAAGATGGCAGAGGGAACTATATTCTTGGAACATGTGCACTAGTCTGAGAGATGGAAGACACCAGCAAGAAACCTGTTGAGCCCATGCAAGTGATTCATCTCATGAATTCACTTCCCAACTCATGGGAAACTTTTGTATTCTCTCTGTTGGCTAAAAGGAAGGCGCCAAAATTGGGGGAACTCATCACGAACATCAAAGGAGAAGAAGAAAGGAGGAACTCAAAGTATGCACTTACATCAACAGCTAGGGCGGCCTTATTTATGGTAAAATTTCCACCCTCTTTTAACATAAGAAAGGAAATGGTAGAAATAATTTTTGAAAGAGATGAGACTTCAAAAAGAGATATTTTGAAAATATCAGAGGAAAAAACGGGACTAGGACTTGCCTTATTTGTATGAAGCTGGGTCACATAACCAGGTATTGTCAGTTAAACAAATTTGGTGGGACCAACAAGGAACTTGTCTGTGTGGTCTTTGAGAAGTTGCTAGCCGACCTCAAGGGCACTTCTTGGTATCTTGACTCGGGAGCTACGGGTCATGGCACAAACACCAAAGAAGGCTCCCGCTCTTTCACTCGCATGGATCCTGAAAAGCAACATATATGAAAGGAAACCACAATATCGATGTGCTTGGAGTCGGGAACTTTAAGCTTAAATCGAAGAGTGAGAGCATTCTGATCCTAAATCAAGAACTTTCTGCTCTTAAAATGAGGAAGTGCTTGGTTTCGATTCGCAAGATGTCTCAAGCAGAATTTGTGACCACTTTCGTTGGGGATAAGGTGGTAGTCAAGAAGGGAAATAATGCTGTTCTGATAAGACATCTTGTGGATGGCTTATTTATTATTGAAATGAAAGAGAACATTGCTTATGTCAGTTTGAAGATATTTTTCGGCACCTTGGGTCCCCGTTACGGAATAAAGAAGATGCCGGTCAATAAAGCCCTGACATACAGCAAAATTTTTTATAGTCTCAAAATTGCCTCAAAACAGGCAAAAACCTTCTTAAGCATTTCAAAAGGCCACCTGTCAAGGTTCGTAGTAATCTGACATGTTTAATACAGTGTAGACAAAGAAACAATTTCGAAAAAATCAGCCTCTTGCACCGTAAAATGGACCCCATAATTAGAACTATTTTTTTGGTACTTCAAATAGCTATGGAACCACCTCCATTAGATTTAGAATGGTCAAAAAACCCTAGGGGTCAAATTTCGGTTTAAACAAACGCTCCAGCACAAAGTTAATGGTGAAACATTAAAAAAGGGCTAAGCTGCACGCTATTCTTGTGCGGCTTCCTTACACCAATCTCCATTAAAGGTAATGGAGATTGGTTTGCATAGTCACAGGCATAAACTTTGGAGACCTATAGCTCCCTCGTTACAAGTCAGATCGTGCTAAAAAATTTTGGAGCGTATTCATCCCGTCAAGATGAGCATTTTGATATGTGGGACATCCCGTAACAATACCTGCGCAGGGGGAAAAGCTTGAGAGAAGATGACTATTTTTGGTAAAGTTGTA